TCAGAGTATCAGGATTGGATTCTCAGTTGCCGTGAAGGCGCCCACCAGTGCAAGATGTCAATAACAGGGGAGACTCGGGGAAGGGGGTGGAGTGTGTGGGAATCTGTTCATTCTCCTTATTTTCCCTACAAACCTAAAACTACTCAATCACATATAGTCTATAAATGTTTTTAAAAATTACTTTCCACTCCACATAGAAGTGGCCACTGACAGCACCCCCCAGCGGTTGCAGGTGCCAGAGGACCAGAAGGCCAGGAAAGATGTGTCCTTGTCCTCCCCACATGGTTAGTGACCCTCTTCCTTTTTTCTTGGCCATCATTCTGTTTACTTGGGGTTAATTTCCATCCTTTCCCTCTGGTTATTCTTCTGCCCACGTTGCAGAGCCCTGTGCTATGTGCTAGGTGGCCTCGTGAGAGGCCCAGAACACAGACGGTCCTCTCATCCCCAAGTGGGGATCTTCACAGAGAACTTCAGCAGAACATCCTAGCAGGTGGCAGAGGCTGCTCCACAGGAAAGTGGTGCCCAGAAGGTGATGACAGTGTTCCCAGAAGGATACCTTGCAAAAGAGCTCAGATCTGATTGGGTCTCCAGGGGCCCAGACAGAGGCCTGACCTGAACAGACACCAGGGGCAAGGTGGGCCTTGAGGGAAAATGACCCTCCCTGCTTTGACTGATTGTCCAGAGAAACTGTTCTTCTGAACCTGCCCCTTCGTTTCCTCCTTTGTGAAGCTTTTGTCACAAAAATGACACTCAGGGTCCAGATCTCTCCAGACCATCTTGAGTCTTATTCAGAAAGGTCCATTAGGAAAAATCTACTTGGGGAATCCCTGAAAGCAATCCACATTAAAGTGTAGTCGGCCCTCCACATCCATGGGTTCCACATCTGTGAATTCAACCAACCAGGGATTGAAACTATTCAGAAAAAATTCCAGAAAGTTCCGAAAAGCAAAACGTGAATTTGCCACCTACTGGCAACTATTTACATAGTATTTACATTGTTTCACAAGTAGTTATGAAGCATTTACATTGGACTAGGTAATAGAAGTAATCTAGAGATGCTGTAAAGTGTACGAGAGAAGGTGCACACGCCCAGGTTGTATGCAAACACTGCGCCATTTTACATCAGGGACTTGAGCATCCTTGGGCTGGGTATCCCTGCAGGGAGGTGGGTCCTGGAACCAGCCCCCCACGGATACTGAGGAACAACTGTACTCAGGTATACCAAGCCCCAGATGCAGATCATCAGTCCTCCGCGGTTGGGTTCAAAAATAACATCTCTTAGCTGCAAGAGCTCACTTCTTGGTTTTAAGAGTTAAACATGCAAATAACCTCCTGTCCCGCCCCTTACGTTCAAGGGTTAAATTTTTCCCAAGGCTCTGAACACCCTTACTGTTCTTGTCTGATCACTGGCAGTCTGCCAAACCACTGGGGATGAAATGTTTACAATGTAGCCCATACATTTTTCATTTGTCTTTTTGCCATCTGTCCATGGAAAACCATCAGCACCAGCACATACATGCACACTGTCCTGTAGGCTTCCGCCACCCAGGCAGTAAACGCCAGCAGACGTTTGGCAACTATTAGCAGCAGATGACCTTTCCTTGCTTAGACGCGGACTGCCCTAGATTAGACAGGATGCCAAATCAGTGCACACATCCGACAGAGAAAACCGTTTTCTCCTAGACCTCAATTAAAATAAAAATGTAAAAATGCACAACTGGGATGTTTTTAAAAAGACAGCTTTCCTGTAAGAAATATAACCATGATAATTCAGAGCGATTTCTACTGATTTACAATATTTAGCCTGGATACATGCCCTTCACAATTTTCAAATTGTTATGTCGAAGATTTCTTTACTTTTACCAGTAAGAAAGAGTATTAATTTACTTCATGTTTCCTGAGTGCCTGCTTTGAGATTACTGCTCATTACATCCTTCTTGTAAACATGCAGAGAATTCTACAATCCCCTTAAAATATGGTAACTCTACCGAGAGTGTTCTGTGATAACCCCAATTTACATGTACGCTTCTCTGGGTTTTGATCTTTCATATTATTAAAGATTCATCCCTTTCATTATAGATTTGATTTAAATTTTAGCTGAACTTTTCTGAATGTAAAGCAAAGGCTGATCTAAATAAGGTTGAGCAGTGTGCATTTGTGGGACTGCTGACCTAGCTGACCCAAAAAAGGAACAAATTGGGAAGAGATGGTTCGTTCTAGGTCTACTGAATCTTGACTAGATTTAAGCAAGCTATTGCTTCTCAACAGAATCTCAAATAAAAACAGGAATATGATACTCTCCTAGAGTAATCATTCATTTCCTGGGTTGGTTCATTCAGCAGGATAATGTCTGGTCCTAATGAGGCCTGCAGTGGGGATTTGAACTCAAATGGACCAGCTTGCTTTGCACCAAGAAAACCTCCCTTGATTGCCCCCATTAAGCCTCTCAAAGATGTAACATTTTTTTGTTGCCATGGATACCAGAAAAGAAGTAGGGTGGATCTGCATGAGTCCATAATCACTAATCACTTCTGGAAAAATCAACCAGAACTTCAAGCCATACTGAAAGTGATCCATAGCATCATTTTGAATAGGAATAAATGTACCTTCCTCCTACATTGAAATAAAAATTCTGAAAGCTAAAGCTCACCGTCACGTGTCGGGGCCTGCCTTACCCACCACGTACGCATATTCGTGGAACAGAGTAAAGTCAGTCAATACCATGACTATCTTCACTTTCAGTTCTAAATCCAACCGAGAGTAGTTTATTGCAAAAAGATGCTTTTTTTTTATAATATACTAGGGTTGTATCTTGATTTTGGCCAGAGAGACAAAAGAGAAAATTAAAACATTAGATTCTTTTTATAATCAAGCAGGGAAATACTTCTGCCAAAATCCCTACAGTGTAAAGACAAAAGCAGGTGATTAATATGAAGACACCAATTACTGAAAATATGAACATCACTAAATTAATATATATTTTTAAGCTCTAGCCATGAGCCAAGCATTCAAGTTACTAATGTGCTTTTTTCAAAAAGCTTACACTCTGCTTAGAAAAGTGAGGCATGCGTACCAAAACACCTTGTGAACAGCAGAGAAAGTGTTTCATCGTGTTCTGGAAAAGATAGCACAGATAAGTACTATGCAGATGATGAAACAGAAGGATCTTTGTGGACTAAAGTAATCAAACAAAAGCTTCCTGGAGAAGAGGTAGACTTGATTTGATTCTGAGGTAAATAAAGGAACAGGTACTCCAGGTCAAAGGAGGTTGCTTACTTTAGTTAGGATGCTAAGGGAAACTGCTCTGAGCAGACGGCGTTTGAGCTGAGACCTAAATTACGAGGAGTCAACCTGCAGGCGCCAGGCAGAGGGAACAGCAAGAGTATATGTATGACCTTAGGAGAAAAAGAGTTCATGTTCATTTTCAAAGACAGAAAGGAGGCCAGTATGGCAGGTGCACAGTCAGGCAGGGAGAGGGGTGTATGGTGAATCCGAAAAAGCAGGCAGGGACGGATTCAGACAACTTTCTTCCACCACAGTAAGGGATCGGCCTTTTATTTTAGTTCCAGCAGAAAGTCAGTGAACTACTTCAGATTTGGATAAGGGATTCAGACAGGCAAGTTAAGTGATGTCACGTATATTTTTAAAAGATCCCTGTGGTGGCCCTGAGAAGAATGGGTGGTGATGGAAGAGGCAGGAACAGAAGCAGGGAGATGGCTAGGAGGGCCCTGCAGCACTGATACAGGCTGGGGCCAGGGAGGCGGCAGCAAGACTGAGTGAAGCAAAAATGCCTCCAGACAAAAAACACCTCTAGGACTGGCAAGGAACTGTGACGCCAGAGGAGGGAGGAGGGAAGACGAAGAACAAGGATGACATCTAGTCTTTTTGCTCATGCAGTTCTGGGGGTGGTGAACCTGGGGAAGACTTGAAAAAGGAGAATTGGGGGAGGAAAGGATGGGGGGGAAACCAGGAGTTTCTTATTAGACACAATAATTTTTTGTGCCTGTTCTAGATTTGCATGACTTGTGCATAGGAATTACCTACAGAAATGTGATAGCAAGGGATTAACCACTCAGGTGTTTATTTTTCTCATATAGCAAAGAGCCCAGGGAGGGGTTGGAAGCTGAGGGCTGACAGAGCTACTCAAAGCCCCATTTCCTGTTCTGCTCAAGTACCAAAAAAGAAATGACTTTCATTCTTATGGCCACCCCGTGATTACAACGTGTGCTGTCTGCAGCTTCTGGTCCATGTTTCCGGCAGGAATAAGAACGAAGCCAAATGAGGGAGGACGTGTGTCTATATCAAGACTGAAAGTTTCCCAGAAATCTCCAGCAGACTTTGATTGACATCTCCTGTGACAACCCATAGCTGCAAGGGAGTCTGGAAAAATGTAGTTCTTAGCTGGGCATATTGTTACCCCAAACAATATCGGGGTTCCATTGGGGAAAGTGGATACTGGGAAGATAGCCAGCTGTGTGAGCCACAATATCCAAGTACAAAGAAGACAGCTGGTATTAGGTGTCTGGAGTCCGGGGAGCAGTTACAGATACCACAAATAGTCATCAGCCTGCAGAGGGAATTTAGTGCCATGGGACTCAGTGAAATGAGTTAGGTAAAAAGTCAAGAAAGAGAAGAGGACTACAGACTGAGCCTGGAAACCTTTCAACATTCTCAAGTTCAATAAAGGAGGCAGCAAAAACAACTGAAAGGAGAAGTCAGAAAGACAGAGAGAAAACCAGAAGAATGTGCTGGACGCTGCTGAAAAGTCACGTCAGTGAGGTCAGAGGAGGCGCCACTGGATTTGGCAACACGGAAGTTGCTGGTAACCAGGAAAAGAGTAGTTTCATTGCAGTAATGAATCCAAGGGCCAGGTTGGAGAGGATTAAATAGTGGCCAGAAAGCAAGAAAGGGAGGCTGAGTATAGACAATTATAATTAAGACGTTTTGCTAAAAAAGAAAAAAAAATACAAGGCGATAAAGCGATAACAAAGGCTACGTGACTTCAAGAGTTGTTGCCGGTCAGCCTGCTTTCCTGCTTGTAACTGGGAGACACTAGAATATGCTTCTCTGCTATTGAAAGACCTTGAATTCCAAGTCGAGAGGCTGAGATTTGATTTTGGAGACATTGCAAGTTTTTAAGCCAGGAAATGACATGATGAAGTCAGTGTTTTAGGAAGATTCGTCTGGAAAGAGCTGCTTATAAATTGTGTAAAATTGGAAAAGTATACATAGCAATGAAAAGTGCTGGATGTCACCCAAAGGGAACCGAGTAATGCAACAGAAAATGGCCCTAAAGAGGCTCCCGAGGTAAGTCAGCTGTGAGTCTTCCAATGGCTAAAGAATGGGCCCCAGATGGGGCATTCAGGATTGATGCCTCTCCAAACCGCAAAATTAAAGCTGAAAGTCCGTCTCCGAGAGGCTGCCGTAAAAACTCCAAACACTGTAAAGTATCTGAGGATAAAATATTGGAGTCATCACTAAAATCTGCTAAATATTAAATGGATGAATGTGTTGGATCAGCACTTATTTTTATTCTTATAATTTATAGAGCTGTGTAAACGTATAGGGTACTTTATAGAACATAAAGCACAAAAGACAGAATTCCTGTCCTGTGAAGTTTATAGTCTCTTTCAGACATAAACTAAAACACTGGATGATGACCCTGAAATATTTTCTCCAGCCAAAGCGATCAGAGAAGACGCGAGCATGGCCGACACAATGGATCGATGTTTCTTTCACACGTCCCGGTGCACAACCCCAGTAGAAAACCTTGTTACAGACGGGGGTTACTTACCAATTCCTCTTTTATCAGTGTTGCATGTACAGTCTGAAATATTTGGAAAAGAAAATGGGTTTATTTTCATTTTTACTTCTCTGATAACAATTAGAATTTATTAAAAGACTCAGATCACAGCATAAGGATAGTAGAACCATAGCAATCAAGTGGCCCAACCAACTCACTTTTCAAACGGCACTGACAACCAGCAAGGTGAAGGTGAAGTCGTTCCCACAAGGTCATTGCCACTAGGTCGTTCCACCAATTAACGTGACTGGAACTTGCACATGAGAACAAGGCACAGTTAGTTCTCCTCCCCGTTCCTCCACCGGAAGCAAATTCGCTCAGAAGTTCCATTTGTTGATTTCCCCATTGATTTTCATGGAAACCGTGTGACTCCTGTGCGCTGTTTCCTCTGACAGTCATCCACGTTGTGCTGCACTGTGACAACAGCATCAGGGAAGGAGATCAGAGGCCACTTCCTAAGGTCCAAATCCTAGATTCCAATAGCCCAGAATCAAAACTTGGCCAGATTTAACATGGAGCCATCTTCGACAGAAGGCTTTTCTGTTTCTTGAGTCCATTTTAAAATCTTCTTTCTCCCCCTACAAACCAGGTGGTGCCCACTCCCACCAGTCACATTCAAATCAACCTAAAACGTAGAGAAAACCTGCCGTTTGTGGGATTTAGGTGCCTAGAACAGCCGCCTACAGAAAACAGCATATAATACATGGTAGATTAATTGACTGTGAAATTACAGTTTAAGCAACAAAGCTTTTTAAAGTGTTAGGGATGTAAAGGAGCATGTACACAAGCTGACTTTCATTCCTCATCGAAGGAAAACGGTTTGCCTCTTCCCTGTGCTTTCTTTCCTCCTTTCTCTTCTTAAATGTCTTCCAAGCACTTGCTCTGAGACCATTTCATTTATAAAGCTTTCCTAAACACCACTCCTTGAAAGGGGAAATCTATGTGTAGAAGTGCTGAAGGATGCCTAGCTAAAGCGATCTGCAGTGGTTTCTGCAGATGTTAAAAGCTAATGAAGCATTGTACACGTCAAAGGTATTGTATTAATGTTATTACGATGAGTAAGAAAGGCGAATGGTCGTTTCCGGTGGGCGGCTTGGTGACTGCTTGGCACTTTACTACAAAGGACAACAGAGAAAATTAATCCAGCCCAGTTCATCTGGAAAATGAGGGAAATGAGGGCTAATAAGGGGAAGTGATTTGTCCGGGACCCCACAGCTAGTGAGAGGCTGAGCTGGGGACAGAACCTTACAAAGTGTAAGGAATTATAAAACCACATCCCCAAGGAACGCCTCTCGTGTGATGCCCTCAGGTCTCGGCATGATACCTCCCACCAAACCGCGCCTGTCACATCCCTTTGTTTTGCCCAAGAGGAGCTTACGGGCCAGTGACGGAAGGTGTGCAGGACTTGAGCCAACCTCCAAGAAAGGCTCCCCAAAGCTAAAGCCGGGAGAGATGCGGCAACTACTTGGGGAAAGGAATGCTGTTAGAATATTTATTCCATGATATTTAGCCCACGAACACAGAAATATAGGGAACATAAATGCACTCAGTCAGATTCAAAAAGTATTTTAAAAAGCTCAATTTTCAAAATGTTCTTTTTTCCCATTTCATCAGAATTTCATCACATGCCCGATTTGGCTTTTCTATTCTGAACACCGTATTGGGGTCCTACAGGATAGGCATTTGCTAGGGTACCAGTATAATGATTGTGCTGATGAAGTCAGTTTGTTAGTGGATTTACTATGATCTGTTGTCTCCTTTGTAGCATCCAGTAAAGGTTAGGATGCCAAATTTTTAAGCAAGATGGGTGGAATTTTTTGTATGCAGAATAAGAGAATTCATTACAAATTTAACATCCAGCGGGGAGGGTATAGCTCAAGTGGTAGGGCACACGTTCAGCATGCATGAGGTCCTGGGTTCAATCCCCCGTACCTCCTCCAAGAATAAATAAATAAACCTAAGTACGTCCCCCCACCAAAAAAAAAATTTAACATCCAGCTACGAAATATTTACCCCTCCACACTCCCCTCAAATTTTAGGTTTTCCAAAATATTGTCAACTCCGAGACTAGTTACAGATGTGATAATGGGGTCAGGCAGAAGAAACTGCTCCCTGTGGGTGGCCTTCCTCACTGGGACGCTTGGGCACCAAATTCCAAAGAAAGATTGGCTTTTCTCCAAGGCAGTTTCTATCAGCCAGGTGAGAACCCTCACGATGGCAGGAATAAGGTTTCTGAACGCTCCAAATTTGCAGGGGAAGGGAGATGACAAAGCTCAACCTCAGAATTTTCCAACCAGATCAAGTAACAATAGTGGTCATTTATTCATCTGCTCAGGAAGTATTTACTGAGTGGCTACTCCAAGCCCAGGCACTGTTCTAGGTGCGAGAGAGACAGCAGTGAACAAACAGACCAGGAAACTGAGCAAATATCAAATACGTCAGAGGATAAAAATTACTATGGAAAGAAAAGAAATAAAGTGAGAGAGAGAGAGACAGGGACTTGGGAGGACGAGCCAGTTTGTAATTTTAAATAAGGTGTCCAAGGAAAGCCTTAGTAAAAAGGTGACATTTGAGTCAAGGCCTGTAGGACGTGGGTGAGTGAACCAGACAACCATCTGGGACAACAGCAGGGGAAAGAGCTAGTTCAAAGGCCCTGAGGCAGGAGCAGACCTGACATGCTGGAGGAATTGCGAGGAAGCCGGTGTGGCTGGAATGGTGGAGAAGAGAGGAGATTTAGTAGGTGGTGAGGACAGAGAGAGAAACTGCGGGGTCTTGAAAATCAGAGTAAAGACTTTTACTCTGAGTGACATGATCTGACTTACATTTTAAAGGGTTTATTCTGGCTGCTGTGTTGAAAATAGACTGAATAGGGGCTGGAGAAGAAGGGAGTGGAGGTAGGGTAGGGAGACCGATTGGGAAGCTATTGCATGATTGTGACTCAGACCACGAGGGGAGCAGTAGTGACAGAGAGAATGATGGGTTGTGGATATGTCTGCAGATTAAGTCAGTAAGATTGGCAGATAAATTGGATGTAAAAGAAAGAAGTCAAAGACTTCAAGGTTATGAACCTAAATAGCTGGAAGGATGAACTGAAATGCAAAACACTAAGAGAAGCAACAACAGATGATCACAAGTTCAGTGTGGGGTGTGTTAAATCTTGAGTTGCTTCTCAAATGTTCAAATGAAGATGCTGGGTGTAAGGACCTGGACATGCAGGTCTAGAACTGCAGGAAGAGATTGGGTTAGAGATACAAATGTCACTCACTAATAAAAAGTTCTCCCCCTGCTGACCCCACTTCCATGATGTCTCCTCATGTTCAGAACTTGTTTATTCCTTCACACCCCTTGAATAAAGGGAGCTCTACTCCTACAGAGTTGTCATTCAGTGTTTGTCTTCTTGCAGAAATGTCTTATTTCAGGACTCAAGTGAGCAACTGGAAAAGGAAATTATTACTGTTCAAGTATTTCTAGAACCAGAGTTTTAAAGGTTTTCTCCATTAATCATGAAAGAATCTTGAAGGAGAATCTTTGAAAAGAAAAAACTAAGGAATTCTCTGGCAGAAATATTACAGAATTTAATTTGTGACTTTCCTTATGATAATTTTGTGAGACATTCTGCATATTTCATTGCTGTGGTGAGGTGGGAAGCCCTGAACCAGAGGCATTATCTTGCTTTTGTGCTTCTGTAAAACGACTAGCTTATCCCTAACTCCTGATTGGTCCATAAGGCTCACTCCTGATTGGTCCATTTTTAAAACCTCATTTGCATAAATGTTGCAAAGTCTTGACTGGAAGCTTACATAAGCCTGTGTAAACCTGTAGACGGGGTCCAGAGCTTGGAGTGTTAACTCCTCTGGTCCCACCAGCGTAATAAACCTGAGTTCTCCAACCCTCTGAGTGCTGCATGGACTCTCGCCAGGATCCAGGGTGCTGTCACAACTGAGCTGTGACACTGAGCTGTAACACACTTTGCTGCAACAGCAGCACTGGAAGTGTCCAGTTGGTCATATTTTGCATTGTTATCAGAAGTTGCCTATAAACTCAGTTTCCTCAATATAAAATCTTATTTCTTTTAACTAGCTTCTAAAATTTAAGGATGCGTTATTGCTACATTGGTATTTTAAGATCTAACACTTTCTCTGGTCATTTGGGCTGCACACTTGCTTCCCTTTAAAAATGTGATGATCCAGAAATCTATCTGTAGCCTCTCTTCCAAAGATCTCCTAATCTACCTGGGATGAAACTTTAAGGAGGAGACTCCACACCAGACTAAGATATTATTAAGAAGTCAATAAGCCAACATTAGAACCACTATTTTATATTGATTTTTGCAAAAATTGAGGTTTCTGTCTGTCTTACATTGATTAGACACAGCACACCACCCATTCAGGAAGTGGCCCTGCTATACAAAGGCAAGAATTCTTCCTGGACTTGGAGTCAGAAGTAGTCTGTTCTGGCCAAAATAATGCCTTTTGCTTGATTTGTAACCTGAAACTTTTCTACTCCCATTCTCTATTAATTAAAAACGTAAGGAAACATATTTAATCGGGTCACGTTCTTAACCAGCTCACTCAAAAAACACCCCTACATATAAGTAAAATGTATCTTTCTAACTTACCCTGATTTTCTTCTTATTTAAGACTTGGACATGACTCCTGGAGCAGAGCTCAGCGAGGTTTCCTGTAAAGGGCCAGGTAGGACACACTGTAGGCTTTATGAGTCATAAACTCTGTGACAGCTGCTCAGCTCTGCCACTGAAGCACAAGAGCGCAGCCACGAGATACTCCATAAATAAATGAGCGTGGCTGTGGTCCAATGAACCATCACTCACAAAACCAGGCAGAGGGCTGAATTTGGCCAGCAGGCCATAGTTTACTGACCCCACCTCTAGAGCTTAGGCCTGACTAAGGCTGTTCTATCCTTACTTCCACAGATACAAAACTCTGAGTCTTCAGAAAACATATACTGAACTGACTGCTTACTTATAAATTCTGGATAAATTAAAGTTTCAGATGAGAGACTATTAAATAAGAAACACCAGTCTAATCATTTATAGTAAATAAATAGTCCTACTAATAGCCTACCATGGGCCAAAAAAATCATTTACCCAAACAGTGTGGAGTATCCAACAAGAAACCTCATACAAAACAAACAAACAAACAAAAAAAGCATACGTTTATGATATCTTCTGCCAGAATAACAAATACAACCGCTGTATTTAAAACAGATTTCCAAATTTTAGGAATTTACCTACATGCTACAGTTTTGTTCAACCACAATATTCTTAGCCTTTAAAAGAGATGCTAGAATAGTATTTGGGAATTTTAAAACAGATATTCACATTTTAGTGACCATAGGTAAGGACTTAAAGCACCAGTGACTGCTTCGGATTGGCATCCTAAAATTCCTACAACAACAGAATCACAGGAATGGAACAGGGTCTCAGATTCTCTGAGTGTGTGATTCTTGAATGAGGTGTTGGAACTCTTCCCTACTGAAACACTACTTGTGTATCAGCGCTCACAAATTTGGGGGTCACAGCCCATCCCCAAGACTGTAGTAGCCAGTCTCCAAGACGGTCTCCAATGAGCCCCACCTACTGGCGTAGCCCCTTCCCACCTTGTACCAGGGCTAGGCTGTGTGACCAACAAAATAAAGCACAAGTGATGGCACATAACTTCTGAAATTACGTTCTGAAAGACACTGCAGCCTCTATCTTGGTTGCTCCGTCTGGTTCTACTCTTAGCTTACTTGCTCAGTGTGGCCACTGTCAAATCATGACCTTGTTGTGAAGGGGCCCCAGGGGTAAGGCACTGAGCCTCCTGCCAACATCCACATCCTCAGAAGACTGGTGTCTGGTCAGTGGTTTGACTGCAACCTCCTGAGAGACCCAGGGCCAGAACCACCCAGCTGAGAAATGTGTGAGATAACAAATGTTTGTTACTTTAATATGCTAAGTAATGGAGTAATTTGTTACACAGACTCACTGACATCTAATATGCAAAGTGGTTTACATAAAAACAGATTGTGATTCATCTGCAGTCAGTATAGAAAAGACTGATCATGCTCAAAAGCAGACAAGAAATAAAAGTCTCTTTGGGTATTACAACCAGACCCTGAAAGGTGCCCCACTGACAAGGTCCAGCCATCACCCATGACTGTGAGCTGAAATCAAAATTTGAGGCTATACTTCCTGCTCAGGCCATGTCCTGGCCCTGAAATCCCATCTTCCTTCTTCTTTCCTTCTACCTAGGTCAATGTGTAGACTTCATTCATTCTTCGTGGCCCAGCTCAATTCCTTCCCAAAACTTTTTCAAACCTCATCAGCACCAGCATGGCTCTGTCTTTCTCAACATCTATTGCATTGGATTCTATACCACAGAGTAGGGCTACTAACGAGGAATTAGTTCAATCTCCCTAAGTACTTTAAGAACAGAGCATGTTTTTTAAAATAATCCTCTACTTCTCACTTCACCCCCATCCTTATTTCCTGATATTCATTTATTAGCAACAGGACCCTCTCTCACGACCATTTTAGCAATTCTCAGGTGTGCTCTATGTTAGATACTGTATCTGACAGTCATCATCAATTTTCAATCTCTTCCCTGGTCCCCCCACCCGGATTCTGGGCCACCAAGGCTGAAAACTGTAGTTCCCAGACTCCCTTGCAGCTATGATTCTGGATATAATTTAGGTTCTGCTAGTAAGACGTATGAGATCTGGAAGGTAGACAAGAAGTGGAATACTTGTTTTTTCACTTGTGATTGGGGAGAAACAGGCCCCAGCCAACATGAGCACTGGCAGCCCACCAGCTTCAAGGCTGCAAGGAAGTCACAAAGCAGTAATGATGGCAGTAGCAGCAGTTTTCTGGCCTCAGGTCACGGCTCAGGCATGGTCCAAAAGTCCAGAGGCAGCCCCGCCTCCAGGCCTTTCAGTGATTTTGTAAGCAGTAACTCCCTTCCGGGGTAGATGCCCCATAGGTCTCTGTTGCCTGCATCGAACCATGACTGGTGTATGTACCATGCAGCTTTCTTTTTTTAAGCCTCTGCTGATCAACTGTTACTTTTTTAAATTTTATTCACTCATTCGCAACTCAGAATGGACATTTTCTGAGTGAACAGGTAAGTAGAGAAGAAAAGAATGTCTCAAAGGAAAGATAATGATGTTTGGTTGCGATAACATGCTTGTAGGTTCTCCAGGTGGCGATAATCAACAGACAGTGGAATCTAGGCTCTGCAGGGAAGGACAGGGGTCCAGAGCTGCCTTCAGTACTCTGTGGCTAGGGACATGTCAGCGGAAGGGAGCAGCTCTCACTGTTTGTTGACTGCCTTCACTGAACCAGGGCAAATGTACTCATTACACTGATGAAGTAGAAACAGTGAGAAAGGGTGAAGAGGAGAACGTGAGGGTTAACCTTAACTTTTTCCTAAATGCTTGTCAGTGGGAAAAAAACCACAGCTTTATTACCAGAGAATCTCCAGCAACATTTCAGTAACTTCCATAGTACTTTAAGGTCAATTTAAAAGTGTCAAATCATTTTCAACGCCTCTGCTTGCTTCAGCAAAATCACGAAGGAAAAAATAAGTTATTAGCAGAACTTCCTCAGACCGGACTTCTAAAAAACTTGGGCCATCCAACTCACTCCAGCAAAGCCCTTCTGAACTCCAAGGAGGCACAGAAAATTGCTGCTACTTAAATATTTAGTGTTAATTAAAACTGGCATATTTGTTTTCAATCACATTTATGAGAGCGTGGAATTACATTTTTAAGTGTTATGTGTACACTTGATCCAACAGCAGCGTCTCAACTACAATCAAAGTACATGGGACATTTATGTCTGTTTTTACAGCATTTGGATCAGAATTTTATTATTTTAAATGATTATAAATGTTTATGGTAGCTGTAGCTTCATCATATTGTTACTAATGTTAACAGTGCTGGGGCGCCCAGAGCTGACTGTGAAGCACGTGCCCACATACAGCGTTTTCTCTGTGCGAAAATACAATTTTCTTCATACACTGTGACACACCGCACTCACTCGGGCACTGCGTCTACGTTTCTGCACATCTCCCAGAGAACTTAGAAGAGTCTGGGGTCCAAAAAGGCATCTAACATTTTCTTGCTGCTCAGCAAGATGCTTCAGTGTATGTACGCTGGTAAAAACACTTTGCATTTGAAAAACTAGTGATTCTTGACTTGATAACACTGCCCTCTTCCAAATGTTTTTCATTCACGTCCTTCTACAAATCAGATGGTTTCCTGAACCCAAGGACATTCCCTGGTGAGCCACGGGATACTAAAATCATGAGTCTGGTAGGGAATAAAGCGGCTTCCCCAGGTAACCTCCTCTTCCTCCACTGTCTACTCTAACTGCACCTGGTGTCACTGCTCTCTGAGTTTGTGTGCTGGCCCACAGTGAGGCGTCACTGCCTCAGTGTTACCCGCCTCTGTTAACCAGTCATGCATTCACCATCATGCATTAAGGACCCACCATATGCCAAGCACTGGTAAGGCAGCAGAGCACGTGGTTAAGAGAACAGACTGTGAAGCCAGACTACTTATGTGCCCATATCTTAGCTCCACCTGGTACTAGCTGGGGGGCATGGAAAAAGTTACTTAACCTCTCTGGACCTCAGTTTCCTCATTGATACAATGGAGACTAACTTAGTACCTACTTCACAAGGGTATTTTAAGGCTTAGAACAGCTAACATGCATCTTTTAGGATAGCACTTAGCACACAGACAATGCTCAATAAATAGTGCTCATCTTGGGGATACAAAACTGATTGAGTAACCTACCCTCAGGGAAATCCCAGTCTAGTAAGGAAAGCAGACTGAAAGTCGTTACTTACAGCACAGGTGTTATGACAAAGGGAAGCACGCGGGGAGGATGTAGCTCAGAGCGCGTGCTTAGCATGCACGAGGTCCCGGGTTCAGTCCCCAGTAGCCCCTCGAAAAATAAATAAATAAACCTAATTACCTCCCTGATCAAAAATAAAACAAAAATCTTGCAAAAAAAATGAAAAGAAAGAAAGAAAAGAAAAGAAAAACAAAGGGAAGCACAGACAGAGCAATATGTTTAAATTAGGCTGAAAGCCTTAGGAGACTTCCTACAGGGACCAAAAAAATGCATGGAGAAGGCATCACAGCCAGAGACGGCATCACGAAGGCCTGGAGGCAGAAGGCTGAACACAGCCGGAGGAATGGCCAAAGCTCCAGGGCAGCGGGAGAGGCCGAAGCCCGAGGGGCTGATGATGACATGCCACCCTGAAGGGATGTGGACTTTAACAATAAAGTCAGAGGCTCCATTGAATAACTTGCATTTTGAAAAGATCATTATGGCCTTAGGATAGAAACTGAACATGTGTCAGGCACCTCCGAATTTCAACACCTGCAGAAACGGAGAGGAAACCACCACCCTACGTACTTTCTCATTATCTGTTGTCACCGCATCCAGTACGGCTTTGTCCGGGACCCGCTCCTTGCTCTGCCACCAAGCCAGCCTTAGTACCCTCAATGAAGTTTCCTCAAAAGAATGGCTGTAACACTACACGCGGACTCCAGATCCCACTATGCGTGCTACAGCTGAAGAGAACGTCAGACCATCCATATTTGATCAGCTCTACTAGAAAATCAGTAATGCGGCAGCCTTCATTGTTCTATTAAATTTTCCTCATTCATGACGTGAATCTGCCCAGAGATACAGATGAGAATCATAACTCTATTTTTAACTTCCCATTCTTCCCAAGTGAAAACAGGTTAATTATATTTCAGAAGTAACCTTTTCCTTCCTTTAGATTGGTAATGGTGTCAAATAATTTCATAATGGATAATAAAATTCCCATTAGTGTTATGAATTATATTAGTATGAATCTTTTCCAAAGCCTTAAAATGTTTTAGCTGATATTTTAACTGTCTTAAAATTATAGGGTAAAGTACTTTTTAAAAAATATTCTCTCATGGTTCAATCCCAGCTCACTGAAACCCCGTGAGCAGTTAACCCCTTAGGTCAAGTTCTCCCTTATATATTTAGTAATTCTATGTTTGATGCCTTCTCACTTCCGTTCCTGTATATTTTGGAACAGATCTTTACATTGCAAAGCCAAGACAATTGTCCAAGGAGGTTCCTTACAACTCAGAACACTATGAATGCCTCCTAGAACAGTGCATGTTAGGTGCAGAAAAGAACTGCTCCCAAACCAAGAGATGAAATCTAAACGTCCTTTGCTATGAGTCTGTTTCTAGTCTCTCATTACAACTGCTACCTGTCCCTAAAAGCCATCCTTTCTCAACAAAATGCTGCCCCACTCAAACTTTGCTCCTCATGAGTCCCCTGCCTCCCTCCGACTGTTGCAAATACTCCGATGGCAGTTGTTTGAATTACTCTCCACAGCTCCGTGGCGTTCAAGTGAGTAGACTTGGACCGTGACCACATGACTGCAAAACATTTATCTGAGAAGGAAAAACTCAGTCAGCCCCTAAGACATTTAATTCCCTTCATGACAAGTAACAAGATATATCAAACTTTTTATTGATGTTATAGAATCAATATGGTGAAGCTAGACCCTTAATGTTTTGACCTTAGTGGTAGGCTGTACTCATTTTTTTCTTCCTGCATAACAAGTTACCACAAACTTGCAGCTTAGAACACATAGTTGTCATCCCACAGCGACCATGAATAGGAGTCTGGGCAGAGCGTGACTGCATTCTCCACTCAGGGTCTAGCAGAGCTGCAGCCGAAGTGCCACCAGGCTGCATGTTCATCTAGGGGTTCAAAGGGGGAAGAATCTACTTATAAGTTCATTTAGTTGTCGGTGGAATTCATTTCCTTGCATCTGCGTGATGAAGGGACCGGCTTCTTACTGGCTGTCAGCTGGACGCCATGCCACGCATCCTTAGGACAAGAGGCCAGCACCGTGCCCTGCCACGTGGCTGTCTCAGTAAGCTGCTTACAGCGTGGGTCTTGCTTCTCCAAGTCCAGGAGGAGATTCTCTTCCTTTGATTTATTAAGGTGATGTCTTGTATAACAAATCATAGTCACGGGAGTGACACCCCACCCCCTTTGCCATATTCTATTGGTTAGAAGAGAGGCATAGACTCCGCCCACACCCGAGGGCAGGACTCACTAGGGTTCACCTTGAGGGTGTGCCCCACACACAGGTGCCTGAGCTACTGCTGTCTTGCCTGGGGTGGATCCATAAGGGGCTACAGAGTACAAATAATCTTACTGCAATTTTATTCATCGTTGGGGATTTTAGTGCAAAGTTGTCAACACAGCACCTGAAATAATATTATTTAAAAAGAAAAAAATTAGTCTAATTGGTACACCTCCTCCTGGGTCTTGAGACCCCCTGCTGCAGTCTTGAGACACACCACTGAGGCTTAAAAATAATTGTGAAGGCCTGGCTTGGGCATTTTTCAGAAAGGCAAACAGGGTTTTCAGAGCAGAAGAGCACCTGTCTGCAGTGTCCGCCACTTATCTTACTTAAGTCAGGCTGATGGCCCTGAGCTCAAGCATAAATGGATTTCTACTGAGTGTGTCTGCAGCTTCACCTCCTTAGCATGTGTATATTTTCTGCATAAATCTACCGAGGAGGTTCTCAAAGAGGTTAAGCCTGGGTGTCCAGGCAATGCAGCCCTTTACCAAGAAATCACTGACAAGATTTTCCTGGTTAAATTCAACTATGGGCCACAGCAAGAATAAATAAATGAATAATTTATTCTTCACAATGTAATCTGCCAGCATAAGTCCTATTTCTCAGGAATATCTGGCAAGTTGACAATGATATGTAGGACCATGTCTGCTCTGGGATGTACCATGACTGAAATTTTAAGAATTTTGCACTTCAGAACTGAAAGCCATTAGTAGAGCACAGTGTTGATCTGCATGAATTTTAGCTTTGCCAAATGCACTTCGAGGCAAGAAGGGAGCACCAGGAGCTTTATTTTGCAGCTTTTAACATAGGTTAAAAAAATTGTGCTTAATTTTTACCAGTGTGCAAAAAGCAATGATTCAGTGTTCCTTTACTCTTGTCAAAACTCCTTTTCACTCCTAACGTTACCACTGGTCACAAGACCAAGCTAAAGGAATGCTCAGAATCATCTGAGAAATCTACACAAAGTAAAGATGTGAGGTAATTGCCACAACGATCAGATAAAACCAAAGCAGAACCTGCAAAATATTTTCTTCTATAAAAAAGAGTTGTGGGGAGGGCATAGCTCAGTGGTAGAGCACATGCTTAGTGTGCACGTGGTCATGGGTTCAATTCCCAGTCCCTCCACTAAAAAAAGAAAAGCTAGAGTTGAACAAACGTTCTGCTTTAATAACTTAGCTATTATGATAAAAGTGGGAGGAGAAACATTTAACATTTATTTTTTAGATAATTATTTCAAATATCTCTAGCACATCACATATGTAACTAACGGTAACAAAAAAAACGAACCAATACTCTGCAAGTTGAACATCTCTCCTCCTCCCTTCCTTTACTCACTCGGTACCAGCAAGTCTGCAAAGGTCTCTGCCGGGCACCTTGGAAACTACAGTCGTGAGTCATATAGGATCCTAGCCCTGCATGTTTATGTAATGTGATGTACAAAATCTGTACTCAATTCTAATGTATACTAAATTAAATAAAAAGTGGACCAATGATGTAATTCCTCTGAAATATGTAGATCAGTATTGACACACACACTATTGCGTTTCAAAGAAAGACTGGACAAGGGTTAAATGCCTATTGCATTCTTTTCATTTATTTCTTACCTACTTCTTCAGGATGTGCCTATTATTAGAGACCAACTGTATGTACAATCCTTAGTGAAGAATAAATGATGGAAAATAAATGATAAAATAAATTTTCATTTTACTAAAAAAATTGTTCCCAAAGGCTGCCTTCAGTATGCAAAGTCTACCAAAGCATTTACTGATTCTTTATTTTCATCCTCTACTTTGAGTTATTTTTGAAACCAATAGTGGAATCTTGCTTTCAAATAGTTCAATATAGTCTTTAAAAGGAGATACAGGGTAAAGTCAGACTCCTGCACTCAACTGGCAGATAAATCCGAGACAGGCTGGCTCCTTACCTTTGTGAAGCTGGTGTGTTGGGTGGTGAGGCGTGGGATACTGGGGAGGGGGCAGGAGTGAGGTTGTGAAGAGGCACCAGCTTGGAGCACAACACACTGGAGGTGAATCCCTTTGTGCACCCTTGGGAACCTTCCTTAACTTCTCCTGGACGCAGCTTTCTTTCACCTGTAAAGTGGGTATAAACACTACTGCAGAGGTAAGTACCAAATGGGATAACGTATTTGAAGCATTTTGCACAGGGAGGGCACTCAGAAATGGTTGCTCGTTCTTCACTGATACGTTGAGGGTAATAAACCACCCACCTCCCAGGCTTTGTAGAGCCACACTGATGAATGCCCAAGGACATGCACAGGCACCACACCTGAGGTCCAGCAGATGGTGGGTCAGGTAAATGCTACAGGTAAATGCACGTGCGTGTGTGCATTCACGGGCGTGCACGTGTGTCTGCCGAAGTGAGTATGTTTATTTGATTTTATCTCCCGAGCCATTATACAGACTGGGAAAGAACTAAATTGCTTCGTTGGGAAATGCCCAAAATTAAAAAGCTGGTTTGCCACATGTCCCACAGTCTACCTGGTTGATATAACCTGATAAGATCCTAGAATCCTAACTAATATACATAAAATGGACAAACAACAAGTTTATACTGTACAGCACAGGAAACTATATCCAATATCTTGTAGTAACTTATGGTGAAAGAGAATATGAAAACGAATATATGTATGCTCATGTATGACCGAAGCACTGTGCTGTACACCAGAAACTGACATAACATTGTAAACTGACTATACTTCACTAAAAATCAAAAATTTTAAAGAAAGATTCTATTTCATCGCATTGTAAGCAATGCCCTGGGAAGCTGTGCAGTGGCCACCATCTAGCAGAAAGCCTGCTTTCATTTTTTCACCTTTATAGCATCTTTCTCCTGACTTCATCATCACACTTTGGCTCTATCCCTCTCCGTGGGGTCCAGACTTGCCCACTCTGGTTCCTAATCTCCTCAGGTCGTTTTCATTCCCTAAACCTCTCAGTACAACCCACATTAAAATTAATGCATGAACATTTGTTAATTTGAAAAATACATGAGAGATCTACTGCAACTTCTTTGACGCTGGTTTAAGATATTTTCAGACTATTAATGAGTCAGATCGCCCTTCTAAAGGCTTCATCTTGGGAAGGCAGCATCCCCCAGTACCAGCAAGTGTTCTCCCCTCGAAAGTGAGAGAAGCTGGGGAGCTGAGTGCTGTACTGATGGCACAATCCATCAGCAGCGCCAGTTTCTTGAATCACAGACCTGAGAGCTGGCTGCCGTCCCTGTAAAAGACTGGAGCACCTAATATGTTCTGTGCTGATATGTAATAAAATAAACCTTAATTTACGGAGCTCTGCACACTAGTTCTTTGCTTTGGTCCATCAGCCAATGTCCAAGCCCATATTGTGAGTTTACCCACCATAGAATATTTGGTCTATGGACAAGAGAGTTTTCTGATCTTATTTTATCATTAGTTTATTACAAGCATCGTCCAAACTAATTTCTGGTCTGAAGATAATCTCCCACGTTCTCTGCCTTTGTATTAGGGAATATATAGATTCTGTTACACGTTCCAGAGGTCAAAAACAGCAGTGTCCTTAGTAAAGCAGAAGTTCACTTCTCTCCAGGCGCAGGTGGTGGAAGGCTGGCAGGACAGCCAAGCTTTGCAAAGTCATCAGAAGGCCCAGAGCCCTTCCCATTTCTCCGCCCTGCCTAGGTTTCTGCCCTCGGTCACATGGTTCAAGGAAGCTCAGCTCCAACCCACCTTCTCAGCAGCAGGATGAAGAAAGGGACCGAGAAGCAGCAGCATCCTCCTCCCTTTTAAAGTAATTTTCAGAGTCACACGCATCCTAGCTCCTCGCGTCTCACTGGCCGGTGCCTGGTCACGTGGCCACACCTCGCTGAATGGGAGACTTGGAAATACAGTCATTGTTTCAGGACCCAGAGGCACAGCTCCATTGTGGATAGAGGCGGGATGATAAAATTAAAAGGCAAAAAAAAAAAAGTTGATTGTAAAAATTTGAGCTTTACAAATCTCTCTTCAACTCTGTTTTGCTAGCAATACTGACTTTTCTAAAATTTTATCTATTCTTGAATGTCAACAGGACATGCATTCTCCTGATTTTTATTTTTATGATTTTGGGATTTGGGAATTTTTTTAATGTAGCATTTATCTAGAAGGAAGTTATTCAGGAAACTTAAACCAGATTTTTCTGCTTGAGCCTGCAGAGAGGAAAGCTTTTTACAGATTCAGTATTAACACCGCTTATTTGTATATGTTAACCTCATGAGATACCATCACCCCTTGAAGTAAGGAAAGCAGAAAACATGACCTCAGTATTTCTAGCCAGAGACAGCTGGTGTAATGAAAAGTGCACAGCTTAGGGTCCCCAAGGCCTGGGGTGTGGCACTGAATCCTCTCCTCAGCCACATGACCTTTGTCAAGTCAGGTCACCACTCTGCAATTGCTAACAAAGGTGCACGTGGAAATCGGCATGCTCAAGATACTGATTATGTTTTTGATGGCTGAATATAATATGGTGTCTAATGGGACTATTGCTTTAATACTACAGGGAACCTGCACCAAAAGGGATGTGTGTATTTCCTTAAAAGCAAATTCAATAAAAACTGTCGATACGATCCTGCTATAATCAGAATAACACTAACCTGAGTATCAAAACTATTTCCACCCCAAACTGTGGTCTTTTTTAGCAGTAGGTGTCGGCTTCATGCTTGCAGTGAGCTACTTCTCTTTCTGTTTTTCATGACGGTGTGGAACGGGGGAACCACAAACGTTCTTTCCGGAAATGGGCTACTTCCACTCGTCTCCTCTTTCCGTGTCAAGCCTGAAAATCATTAAAGATGTTGGTTCTATTTCTGAAAATTTTGTACTGTAAACAAATGCATCAAAACATAAAGTAATAAAATAGAGTAATCATACACTAGACACATATTTATGAAGAGACAACCATGTGCCAAGCTAATGGGAACTATAAATTAATGGTCTAAAATATAGTAACATATGAAGCATCTGTTCTCAAAGAGGTGACAGGCCAGTGGGCGAGACCATCACATAAACACAGAGCTACAAATGGGCACAAACGTGCATAGCCGGGGGAAAGGTGCTGAGAAGGGGCCACCACCTGCCCTGGAGTGGTGGCTTAGAGGTGAGGGAGGAAGAGAGTCAGGGACACAGTGTAACATGGTGCTTAAGAGGCAGCTTGGGCTCTGGGCTCCGAAAGACTGGAGTCAGAATCACGGCTTTGCTGCATGGTAGCTGGGTGGCAGAAATGAACAATATTACAATTCTTAATAATAGTATGCTAGGTATCTGTCTTTATGTTAGTGTTTCCGAAGTGTCACCACCTTTTCAAGACGCAAGTATGATCCAACTAAGGAAAAAGCCTGTCTCATCTCTCTCTTACTTTTAAATTTCCAGTGAGCCTGCCTCTGCCCCTGAACATATCTGACAAGCTGCACATGGTACCAGAGATGAGAGCAGCGGAGACGGATAAAGGAATGACTGAAGATATTTCAAAATCCCACTTAAACCTTCTTCTGGTGAAAATATGCGAGGAAAAGCTTGACTATGAAATGAAATTCTTTCTTAGCAGATACTTTGAGGATTAGACAGAGAGTAAACATTTACCCGCTTTAACCTCCTACTGATGAGAAATCTAAAGTATGGCCAAATTAGTTTTGGACCAAGCAGTGCACAATTCCCGGCATGTTTTTTCTTTATCACAACAAAGCCTGAGTTGTCTTGAAGGGACCCCCTGGGCTGTGAATGCCAGCATGTAAATGAAGCAGAACTACCTGGAGTCTTTAAACTTGAGGCTTGAAGGAGAGAGAACGGTTCTCAAGAATAAAGTTTGTCCTCATCAAATAGCTACTTCTCATCAAATCAGGGAATGCCAGAGAACGAGCAAACATGAAAAGGAAAATCAACTGTAAGAGTTTAATCTTGTCAGTCCTTCATCCTCTGCCCACTTTTCAGAAAACAAGATGGACAAAAGAAAAGCAGCAAAGAATCAATAATTTGTCTTTTCCCCTAAAGAAACAGCCTTTGAAAGACCATTCTGACTTTGGTATATAATGATATTTGGGCTTTCTTCTCTTGCTCTTGGTTTGGGGAATTTTGTTTTTGTTTTTTGTTTGTTTGTTTGTTTGTTTCATGTGAAAGGAATTGTTTTGTTTTCTTGAGCTTTTGTCCCTCAAGTTCATTTCACCCATTTCAGTGTGTTGTAAAACTGACTAAACACTGAACAAATTCAACTAAGAGTTACCAGAGGGTCCTATTTTCGACAGTTGAGATGACTGGTACTAAGGTCTTGTACTCATCATGGGGGGATTGACTCCTCCCCAGATCTTCCTAAAGAAAAGCCAGCCCAGCCTCCGTGAGGCTGCAGCTCCCCATGCACCTTGTGTGGTAAATCATTTCAGGAAAGCAGGATGTCACACATCTGCTGCTTTTTTCAGCACAAAGGTAATTCGAGGCTAAAGAAATTACATACTTGAATCTGACTCATCTTCAAAGCAAGAAAAATAATGTCAATTAAACCACTGATTTTATTTTGTATAACAACATTTTGAAATATGGGCAAGGGTAAACATCTTTCAGAAGGTTGTGTTTGAAGGTGTTTTTTTATAGGCTGCAAAAATGTTTTGGTCTTTGACTTCAAAATACATGGTACATTTTCATTTGACAACTCAAGGATAGAAAATAAAAACTGCTTTGGTCTAATTGAATTTAATGACTTACCTTGTAAATAGTAAGATGAGTGCAGAAAAGCTGGTGGTGGAGATAATGGTAAAGGTGGTGATGGTGGAGGTGACACTGGTTTTTAATCAATGAGTTGGCTTTTTTTTTATTTGAAAGTTAGGAAATAGAAAATGAACCAGCAAAAAAGCAGCAGGCCTGGGTTA